TCTTGCCATTCACAAAACTCCTTAGTACGTTCCAACACACCTTAAACATACATTATCAATTTAAAATTATGTGGCTCTATTAGATAGATCTCCTTTAATACTCAAATATATTATTCCCAAATAATGTTGGCGCACTTTAAAATCTTAAATCATTAGGAAATTTTTACGGGGCCTTACGAATCCCTAGATATGTTTTCCAACATAGGGTACAACACTCCCTAGTTGATTTAATCTTAAATGCAGGGTACACCGCTCTCTGATATCATTGCTAATATAGGGTACGTCATTCCCTAGTCGTATTTCCCCAACATAAGTTACACCACTCCTTATTTGAGCCATCATTTTGCCAATAAGGAAACACCCTTCAAACAAAATCATGATCTCTCCAGGATACACCATTCCTGACACTTTATTGCTTTTAATAAAGAAGTAATTTAGAATTTTATTACAATAATTCACAAAATTTTCCAGTGAAAACTGGGGCAGAAAGATTTCATTTATTTATTTGTTTTGGTGTCTGAGCAGGTTTTACCTCGAGGCACAGGGTTCGAGATGACCAAAAAAAAAGTCTCAATCCCGGATAAATAAAAGAAATGAAAAAAAAAGTGAATCCGAAATTCAAAAGTGGATGAAATGATGTGGACTACTCAAGACATTATTGAAGTCACAAGCATTGCATTTCCCGTTTTGATTCGAAGGAGTCGTAGAAGAATTAACTAGTACCTGCAGCTAGCAAGCATTAAGGTTCATATCAGAGTCTTCATGATGAACCAGTCAAGACTCAAGATCATGTTTCATAAGACTTATAGATAGGAATCTTGTAACTCATAGACGATAGGCTTGTTTAGTTTTCTTTGATTTTAATTTTGGTATAATAAGGAGTTCAGCAAGTAGTAACAGTAGCAACAACAATGAAATCATAGCTTTTCGGTAGTCCCAGCTACCAAACTTTCCAAAACTACACTGACCTGATGTCACAATCCAAAATCTCACATATCGTGATGACGCCTATCATATTACTAGGCAAGCCGACAATCACCACTAACTACATATTTTCCGTTAAAAACATAATGAAACAGGTTTAATAGCAATAAATTCTCATGAATAACCGATAAGAAAATACCGCGACTCAATACAAAATCCCCCAAAATCCTAGTGTCACTGAGTACATGAGCTACTAAAGTGTCAACATTGTCAAACTGCTAATACAACTGTCTACAAAGATAGAACAGTGCTAAATAAACTGAAAGGAAGGAGAGTCGAGGTCTGCGGACGCCAAAGCAGCTACCTCAAAAGTCTCCAAGCAGATGAAGCTCCAAATCTAGCAATCGCTGTGTCCAGAAGTACATGGATATTCACACGAAGTGCAGAGTGTAGTATGAGTACAATCGACTCAATGTACTGAATAAGTAACAGAACTAACCTTGGGTTAAAAGTAGTGACGAGCTCAGAAAGGTACAGTCCAAATCCAGATAATAACAACGCAGATATGACAGGAAAATGAGATTAATATCCCAGAGAAAATCTCATAATCGATTTATAGACATGCTTTCAGGTATTTAACAGTTTGAGCTCAACACGGATAAAATATGCCAAGTATGACTAATATGAGGTATGTTACATCTCGATATCTACATGTCAAATATGCATGCCAACTATAATGCAACATAGTGATAAAGTCATATACTCATACTCTCAGAATATTCATCCTCACTCAGCACGCTCAATCACTCGGTACTCCAATCACTCATCACTCTCAATCACTCGGCACTCGCACTCAACACTCTCACTCGGCACTTGCACTCAATAGGTACCTGCGCTCACTAAAGGTATGTCAGACTCCGGAGGGACGGATCCTGCCCAAGCGCTAATATAAGCCAATCATGGCATGAATTAATAAAGTCTGATGCGGCGTGCATCTCGATCCCATAAATATCACTCACAATCAGACCCTCGACCTCACTCAGTCATCAATCTCTCCAGTCTCTCGGGATCATAAATCTCATGACAATCAGCCCAAACAATGATAATATAATGTAACAGTAAATGGCAACAAGACTGAGATATGATATGCAAATGATAGATGTGAGTGAGTACATAATTGCAATTTAAGCAAATAATTCAACAGCAAAAGTGACCTTAGTAGGTCCCAAAAGAACAAGAATATAGCCTAAGCATGATTTCTAACATGGATTGTAGCTTAATTACTCTAACAAGTAAGAGTTTCATGAATAGCAACAAGGTTTGATAATTACAAAGTACCACGGAATCAACCAAGTCACAATTATCACGGTGCACGCCCACATGCCCGTCACCTATCATGTGCATCACCTCAACACCAACCACATAGCACGTATTTTCAGGGATTCATACCCTTTGAACCAAGTTTAGAAGTGTTACTTACCTCAAACCGCGCAAATCCCTACTCCAACAAGCCATTGCCTCACAAATCAGCCTCCGAGCGACTCGAATCTAGCCACAATTAATTTAATACAATCAACACAAGCTATATGAATCAATTCCATATGAAAAAAGCTAGGTTCTTTAACAAAAGTCAAAAAGTCAACCCAAAGGTCAACCCCGGGCCCACGTCTCAGAATCCAACAAAATTTATAAAATTCGAATACCCATTCAATAGCGAGTCCAACCATACCAAAATCACCCAATTCCGACCACAAATCGGCACTCAAATTCCCAAATCTTACTCTCCAATCCCTAGTCCAAAATTTCCCAAATTCTATCTTAAAAACACATAATCTAGGTGGGAAATTCAATGGGTATTCAGTATTAATGATTAAAAATGATCAAAAGTGGCTTACCTCTTGAAATCTAGTGAAACCTCTCTCCAAAATCGCCAATACCCGAGCTTGCAAAGTCCAAAAATGAAAAAAAAACCTCAAAACCCTCGATTTTATGAAGTCTGCCAGGCATCTCGCACCTGTGAGCCAAAAATCTGCTTCTGCGGAACAACATCTGCGGTGAAATCTCCTCACATGCAGAACTTACTTAAGTCCCTTCAATCCATATATGCGCCCCCAAGACCGCATCTGCGTAAGCATTTCTGCACCCAAACGTCCGCTTTTGCGGAAGCACCTGACCACCTCAGCCTCACCAATTTCCGCTTCTGCGACCTCCCTTCCGCAGGAGCGACTCCGCTTCTGCGGACCACCTCTCGCACCTGCGACCCAACAGCCCACAGCTCCCCTTCGCACCTACGCATCGCCAGCCGCACCTCTGGCCACTCCTTCCGCATATGCGATGGCACCAGACATCAACAGTTTCAGCAAATCTTCTAAGTCCAATTTCAATCCGTTAACCATCTGAAACCCACTCGAGGCCTCCCAGGACCTCAATCAAACATACCAACAATTCCTAAAATATCGTACGAACTAGCTTGAAGCCTCAAATCACATCAAATATCACTAAAACCACGAATCACACATCGATTCAAGCCTAATGAACTTCTAACTTCTAAAACAAATGCCGAAACATACCAAACCAACTCTGATTGACCTCAAATTTGGCACACAAGTCATACATGATATTACGGGGCCTATTCCAACTTCCGAAATCATAAATTCAATCCCAGTAACCACAAAATCAATTCTCGATCAAACTTCTCAACTCTACAAACATCCATTTTTTTAACATTTGCTAATTCAAGCCAAAATCATCTACGGACCTCCAAATCAATATCCGGGCATACTCCTAAGTCCAGAATTACCATACGGAGCTATCAGAATCATCAAAACTCTATTTCAGAGCCATTTAAACATAAGTCAGCATCCGATCAACTCTTCCAACTTAGGCTCCCATCCTTAGGATTAAGTATCCCAGTTCATTCTAAAATATCTCCGGAACCAAACCAACCACCTCGGCAAGTTACATAACAACAAATAAACACAGAATAAGCAATAAATGGGAGAACAGGGCTATAATACTCAAAACAACCGGCCGGGTCGTTACACCTAATTTCTTTATAGCCAAGGATATATAGGCAACCTCGAAATCAAGGTTTGGTCAAACATTTTCAAAATGCTTCCTGTGGAGTATCAAGCAGGCAAGCATTATTCATGATTGCTCACTTTATCTTTGTCTGAAAATACTTCATGTTATCGAGCAAAGAGGGACAGCTGTGAGCACGTAAGTTTTGCCCCACATAGGAAATCACTCCTAAAAATATTCAAAATAATTTAAATTGCTTTGTAGAATTTTAGAAATTTTATTTGTGTATTTGATTGCATTTTTATTGCGTTAATAGATCATTTGCCTCATTAGAAATATTTTAAAACTAACAAAAATATTTTATCATTCATCTTTGTATTTTTAGATTATAATCGCATTATTGGCATTTAATTGCATGTAGTTGCATTATTAAAACATAAAATCACAAATACTACACTAGTCATTTTTCCTTGCATTTTTAGTTTAAGTAAGTCAATTAAAGTTACGGGGATTAATTAGTTATGGTTAGATAAAATAGATAACTTGGATAATTTGGCAATTGAGATTTAAATTAGGACATTTAATCAAGTGGCTATTGGCGTAAAACAAGAGAAGGAAACAAAGAAGGATTTTTGTTTGTTATTTTCAGACTGGGCCAATGCAATTCCGAAGGCCCAGTTGCATTCCACACTCTACCCCAATCAATTATACCAGTCCAGACTCCCGTTAGCCAAACGGCGTCGCTTAAAATCCAAGTGACTCCGTTTTGGGTCAAAGAACGATCAAACCAATCATGGCCCTTCATCATGTCTCATCCGACGGCCAAGAACTAACCCCTCTTTCCCATAAGACTGTCCCAAACGATCCCCACCCCCCAGACTATTATTTGTTAGTTGTTTGTAATTAACAAAGAGTATATGGGTGCTAAAAGAAATAAAAGCTTAGGGAATTTTAATGTAGTTACTTGAGAAGCTTCTAGGAGATAGGGGAAGGACCTTTTAGCAATAGAAAAATAGAAGGGGTGGGGGGTGAGGGAGTAAAAAGAAAGAAAATAACTGACAAGAATCTCTGAATTTCTGTTATAAAACAGTACCCCCATTCATTCACACCGAGGACATTGACTCTCAATTCATCCTCACTCACGCACACTCACAAAAAGCTCTCTGAAAATTCAAAAATAGCTTTCAAAAAGATTCAAATCTCATATATGAAATTTCCAGCTTTAAGATTTGAAAGAAAAACACAAAAACAGATATAATTTAGGTGAATTTTGCATTTGAAAAGAGTTATAAAAGGTGTATCTCTTTCTGCTGAACCGAGGAACTCTCTCCATTATTTTTTCTGGGTTTTCGAGTTTATTTTGGGATTGAAAGTGAAGTTGTTTTGCTGATTTGATGCTGAATTTGCTTGTTTAGTAGTTGTGGTTTGTCTGACCTTTATTTGGTCACAATCTCTTCTCCTTATGCTGTTTTTGAGGTAATTCACCTACTGCTCTTGATAGATTTATGAATGTATTGCATTTCATGATGAAATAATATATGTGACATTGAAATTGGACTGTCCTTATTAGATCTCTGTTATTAGTACTCGGTTGATTTATGTTTGTTAAAATCAGGATTAAATGTTTGGATTTCTGTTTGCTCTTTACAAATTCATGTAGCTTGACTAAAACTCATTTGAACTCATATGATTGTTTGTGCTAAAAATCATGCCACGCAGATTTATGCCGCAGTTCATTTTACGACAGCATGACATTGAAGTTAGAACTTAGAGTTAGTAATTTCCAATATCTGATTTGTACGAACACGTATGGACTGTATTTCTTAATTCCATTTGTTATGACACTAAATTTGTAATCATTTAGTCTTATTCTGAATTTTCTTCTACGTGAGCGTATCATGCTATAAAATTAGGTGAGCAAGTATGTTTTTCTTTCATTTCATGTTAAGAATAATTGAAATAGGTAATCCTTAGTAATTGACTGATAGTTTGGCGTTTTTCAACTAAAGTTTGATGAATTAATTATGTAATTCGGGAACTCTTGTGTGGATGTTAAGAACTTTGCATAACTACTTCTGATGTTATAATTGAAATTGAGGCCATATGAAATGCCAAATGAATTGTTAGCAAATTAAGAGGAAAAAATGGTGACAACACATAACAGGAATTGACAATTTTTTAGCCTTATATTAGGTTTGGCAAAGACAACCTTAAACAATTGGCATTATATAGCCAAATCCTAAAAAAACTACTCTCTTATATATTCTCTCTCAAACAATTGGCCCCAAACCGTCTGCTTCCCTCCCCCTTTTTCTCCTTGTATTTCTTCTTCTATCTCTTCTCTTTCACTCTTATAGTTTAGCAAAAATTCTTGCAAATTATGCAAAAAAATCAGTGGGATGAAAAGGTAAGGTTGATCTCACATCAGAGAAAATCGGAAGCAAAAACTAAGAGAGAAAAAATACATTTCAACTTTGTTTTTCTTCTCTCTTTTTTTGTTTTTGGTTGGATTGAACTAGTGGGTGTGATTGAAATTGGTTGAAATACCTAAACGAGGCTATATACAAATTTTGAGCAAGATTAGAAATGATTTAGACTGGTTTCAGGTAAAAAAAAAAATAGACCTAAAAATCCAACTGCGATATGTTTATATCACGTTGTATATCGTGTGTATCAGTGTATATCACACACATGTTTTAAGGACGTCTGTGTATATCACTTTGTATATCATGTATACAACACATTTAATTTTATGGACGTCCATGTATATCACATTGTATATCATATATATAACACAAATATTCATGGATATACACAGATACACATGATATACATGAGATATCACTGATGTACATAGAGATATACACAGAATACAATAGGGGATACACAAGTGGAGTCGTCGTGAACTTGAGTTTTCAATCTGAAATGTGAAGAAAAATAAATTTTAATATACTTTTTTGATATACACATTATTATTATGTTATACACTGTGATATACAAATAATCGAATTATTATTGTGTTATATATATATATTTGGATATACAGAAAAATAACTAGAAAAATAATTAAAAAATATTTGGGAGTTTTTTCGAATACTACTGATGGAAATGGAACCTAATTTCTAGGATGATGATTGCTATGAGAGAAGAGGGGGTAAATATTTTTTGCTATTTTTAAGGAAAATAATTTTGATGAGGAATATTTTTAGGATGGTGGTTGAACCATTAGAAGAGAGAGAATAACTTTAGGCTACCATATGCTAAATCCTAAATAGGTTACCATATGCCAAATCCTAAAACGTTGGCTTTTTTATGGCAATTGTTGGACCAAGTTGTCATGCCATGCCAAACCCAGCCCTGTGTTAAAATAATTGGGCCGGGTATCTAGCCCAAGTGTGACAGCCCATTCAAAGCAGATCTGGGGGTGTATCTTGGTTCCTTGTCAGCTTCTAGGCTCAATTTGAAGCCCAATCAGACACTCGTACTATTTCGTTTGAGGGTGTGGCTACATTGAAGGAAATGGCGTTTTGGGCTTACTGTAAGCCCATCATTGGTTCACTTGGACTTGCCTAGGATCTTAACGTGATTGTTTAATCTGAACCCAATTGATCACCCTCCACCTAAATGTTTAGCCCAGTTTAATCATTGAATAAAGGGGGGTCCTGATGTTTTATACGTCAATACCACATAAGAGGGGGTAATTTATGTGGTGTTCAATTTTTCGCGCGCACAGATTATAGAAGGACCTGGTTCTTCTATGTGTTCCTTATACTACTGTTGCGGAATAATAAATGCAGAAATTAAAGAACACAGGTATTTTACGTGAAAAACACTCGGCTCAAAAGGTGAAAAAACCACGACCTACTACCCAGTAGGATTTTTCCAAACTTTCTACTAAATCGCTGAGCCAAAAACTGCATTTATAAAACACTTTTGTAAACCTAGGATTAACTCTAATCCCGTTGTGGCAACTAACCTCTAACTGATGCGACAACTTCAAGTTAACTCTAACTTGAATAATCTGAGTACCTATTACAATTGCCTCTAGATAAAGCTGAAAGGTACAATATGAAAACACCTACTACAATTGAACTAGAATAAAAGACAGACACTTGGAGCTGGTTCTTCTATCTAATTCATATAGCTTCAGGTTCGCACACTTGAATCATACACGAACTGCTTGCAAAATGCCTTGCTATTTTGCTCTTAATTCACGTTTAACTTCTGCTTTTGTGCGTCCCCTGTAGAATGAGAATATCCTGCGATTTATAGAGTTAGTAGAGTAGAAAATAACTAGAGTTCTAATGCTACTCTTCCTTGGTGGAAGAGTTCTAGTTAATCTCAACTCCTAACTCCTTCCTTATCTAGGATAATGTTCTCGTTGAGTAAAGAGTCATTCTCCTTATCAATTATGCAATCTTTTCGATCAGGAGGTATCTATTATTATGCCAGATTTCGTTTATCTCCTGCATGTGCATCTCACGTGCTTTGAATATGCTTTTGTCTATCCCTACCAGTGATGGACCTGGTTCATCCCTGAGTTCCTTTGTCAATCTTTAAAACTATTCTTTACTTTGGCCAACAAATTCCCCATTTTTGATGATGACAAACTCTGTGCTTCCATAAGCTTAGGGCCTGTTTCAACTTAGCCCAACATCAACACAATGTTAGAACAATTTTCACTTATCATCAAGGGCCAGGTTCATCAGGTTATAAATATCACTGTTCAGAATACAAAGCACACTTTTTCCCCTTTTGGCATCATCGAAAAGTTGCATAAAAAATGTGAGATAACCAGATTTTAAAACTTACTCATGGCCACTGGGGGCTACTTCAAATACAATCATGGATTAATCATCATAGATCAAGCTAAGAATTTTAACCATCAAAGAAATATAAACAAACAGTTGGAGCAAAAAATAATGAATTTCATTGATGATTGATACGATTCTTCCACAAAGCATAAAAAAAAAATAAAAATACTGAAAACATGAGCAAAACAAATCCCAAACTGGGTCACTGGTTGATCTACACTAGACTAGAAGTTTAAGGCTGGGAAGAACTAGGTGCTTGTTTTTTTTTTTGGAAGAGTTTCAGCATATCTTGAAGAATGCCATCATTCTTCTCCTTTTCTCTTGCCAGCTCATTTCTGAGAGCATCTCTCTCAGTCTCCACCTCTGCCAACCTCTTCTTCAACCTCTCAATCTCAGCATCCTTAGCCCCACTTTCTTGCACCAAGGTTCGCACCTTGCTATTCACTGGTGCATTCTTAGATGAACCAGGTTCTTTAGGAGTGACATAGACTTCATAGTCACAAGCAGGCAATGTATTTTCCCCAAAGTGATCCTTGCTTGTAGCAACCTCCCTTTCTTCTTTGGATTATAACTTTCAGTCACTCTCTTCAGTAGGTCTGCGAGTGTTTCCTGTTCAGATGAAACAGGTTCATCTATATTTTTTTCAAGTTGAACCAGCCCTTCGGCGGCTTTGCCAGACCCACTTTCCCCTATTTTCTTTACACTCTCCTCTACTCCAGCAGATTTTTCTCCCCAAACAACCATTGCACTAGTGTCTTTGGTTAAACTCACAGGAGTGGGTGAAGAATCAACCATTCTTTTACCCTTTTCCCTCACAACACTTCGAACACCCTTGCTCTCTTTTTCTTTTTCTTTTTCATTTTTACCACCAAATTTCTCCAGACTCTGTAGTTTCAACACCTGCTTTAGACCCTACTAGTACAAACTTATTCTCCAAATTTGTTCTCTCCCCGCAACAACCTTGCGAGCAAGAATCTTTACTCTTTTCTTAGAGGTTGGGGTGGTGGAAGGGATGATAATGGGTGTGGAAGTCTAATTAAACTGAATTTCAGTTTTGAAAAGACTTTGGAGTGTATCCCTATAATCTAGGTACTTCAATTCGGTTGGGACTCTTTTGAACAGAACTGATTCACTTGTAACGGATAAGTCCAAAAGGAGTTTGGAATTAAGTAGGACTCTGTTCATGATCCAAATATTATTATTTCAAATTATGCAGAGTGTAGAAAACATACCGTGTTATCTTGATGAACCAGGTTCTTCACTGAGAATATTCTTGTGTAAGTCTAAATTTGCCAAAATAGAGAAAATACCATTAGAGATTAATGAGTCATTTTAACACATGGCACAAAAGTATACTATTGAAAGTATGAGACTGAGCAAAAATTAATCTAATTATGTATACAATTTTCAGATTTTCTAACCAATTCTTTTTTCTCTGAACTGGTCCTTTTAGGTGATCTTAATCATCCCTAATTCTAACATGTTCCTTTCAAAGTGATCTCTACTTAGGGCTTTTGTAAAGATGTCAGCTATTTGCTTGTCAGTAGCACAAAATTCCACAGTGATCAACCCCTGTTTATAGTTATCCCTAAAAAAGTGATGCCTAACATCTGTGTGCTTAGTTCTCTTTTGATGAACCGAGTTCTTAGTCATACTAATAGCACTAGTATTATCACAAAAAATGGGAATACAACCAACATCAATTCCAAAGTCCTTTAATTGTTGTTTGATCCGCAACAATTGAGCACAACATGAAGTAGCAACAACATACTCAGCTTCAGCAGTAGATAAGGCCACTGAATTTTGCTTTTCGGTGGCCCAAGACACAAGACATGAGCTAAGAAAGTGTGCCATACCTAAGGTGCTCTTTCTAACCACAAGAAAACCTGCATAATCAGCATCAGCATATCCCACAAGATTGAAATTACTACCTTTTGGATTCCAAAGACAAAGATCAGTGGTGCCTTTTAGATATCTCAAAATTCTTTTGACAGCAGTCAAGTGAGACTCCTTCGGATTTGCCTGAAATTTTACACAAAGGCCTGCACTGAAAACAATGTCAGGTCTACTAGCAGTGAGATACAACAATGAGCCAATCATTTCCCTATACAACTTCTGATCGATAGATGAACCAGGTTCATCCATATCCAACTTTGTAGCTGTTGCAATAGGA